ACTCACTGAATTCTTTCTCTTAGGAATAACCAATAACCCTGAAATGAAAATAACCCTATTTGGCATATTTTTAGCTGTGTATCTCATGAATCTCCTGGCGAATCTCGGTATGATCACTTTAATCAGAGTGGACTCCCAGCTTCACACACCCATGTACTATTTTCTCAGCCACCTGTCTTTTTCTGACCTCTCCTATTCTACTGCAATTGGCCCCAAGATGCTGTTGGACCTTCTCGCCAACAACAAATCAATTTCCTTTTTTGGCTGTGCCCTGCAGTTCTTCATCTTCTGCATGTTCATAGATGTTGAGTGCCTGCTGCTGGCGGTGATGGCCTTTGATCGGTACAAGGCCATCAGCAGCCCCCTGCTCTATGCAGTGGACATGTCCAGCAGGCTGTGCTCTGTACTTGTGGCCAGTATCTATCTGTTTGGAGTTGTAGATGGTTTCATACATACATCACTGGCATTCCGCTTATGTTTCTGTGGTTCTAATGTGATCAACCATTTCTTCTGTGATTTACCTCCACTTCTTCTTCTGTCTTGTTCTGATGTACAAACCAATGAGCTGGTGTTGTTCACTGTTTTTGGATTTGTTGAACTGGGAACCATCCTGGGAGTGCTGGTCTCCTACTGCTATATCATTTTGTCAGTCTTAAAGATCCGCTCTGCTCAGGGAAGATTCAAAGCTTTCTCCACCTGCACCTCCCACCTCACTGCGGTTGCCATTTTCCAGGGAACCATGCTCTTCATGTACTTTCGCCCTAGTTCTTCCTACTCCCTAGATCAGGACAAAATGACCTCACTGTTTTACACCCTGGTGATTCCCATGCTGAACCCTCTCATTTACAGCCTACGGAACAAGGATGTGAAGGAGGCCATGAGAAAATTGAGAAATAAAATTTTCTGTTAGTAAAAAAAATACCGTACACCAAGTAATACAAGTAAATACATATTTATATACCCACAATGTATATGACCACAATGTGATTTGTTTACATATTCATAATATTTTGTTGGTTCAGGTACCTTAATTCAATAGAATAAATAATTTACTATTCCCTGCATACAATTTTTGTAGTTCCCCGAATACTTTGTACATCATTATGTCTTCCAAAAACGTGGTAATCTTTATCTTTGGGAAACTTTGCAGTCTTCATGTC